ATCATTGTCACACATAAGTCGAGGCAAAGGTCGGCATGGAGTCGATCGGCATACACACCATACACATGATCCAGTAGATGGTGGAGTCATAGGAGATATACCGCCCCCGCCTGATGGTCAGTGGCCCAAGCGGCAGAGGAGACCATCGCCTCGTGGGACATAGTTTTTTTTTTATATTTGTTTGTATAAAATTTAGAAATATTATTATTGTATATAAAATATGTTTGTGTTCATAGTTTCATGTAATGTTATTTCATTACTGTCTTTCAGATTATTTATTCAATGCTCTAAAGACATGTTTGTTGAATAACATAACATAAATTATTTAAATTTAGATGAACATTACAAACTGGAGTAGTGCACCATATTTCATAGAAACAAAATACATAAACATATTGCACACACAAGTACGACGACAAAAGTGTAAATATTATAACACAAGATTTCAAGGACACTTCTTCATGAGTCTTCATCTTCGTCAGATAGGTAATGATCAGAAATACATCCAGCTTCACCACTCAATTGGTAGCTTAAACTTGCTTCTTGCATCCTCCCTTCTGCAGCACAGTCGCTTGCAATACGGCGCAGATTGTACCAATCACAACGGATTGTCATTCGATTGTTCTCAACTCGAATGTGAAACAATGCTCGCTCTAATTGTTGAGGAGTGTTTATAGGCATACCAATGACAACTTGTCGAGGCCTTCTTATGTTACAAAAACGTAAATCTAAGCTTAAATTTTCTCTTTCTGTCAAGCGATATTGTCATTTCGCCATCATTGTGTTCATAGCTGTTAGTGAATAGCGTAACTGAGGATTCATTGGGTAAAAGAACTCATCCTCTAAAGCCCAATGATAACCCAGAGTTTCAAACAGGGTTCTCGGACTAAAATTCAATGTTAGAGATAAATTTTGTACATTGAACATTTAACATTAGTTCATATTTATAGGCAATTTATTTATATTAGTATGCGATTGATATTAGAACATTATGTACTCACAGTCACGGACTACACAATAATATCTACTGACACTTTCTGACTGTGAATCATTGTGTAGTTACACAGATTGATATTTAACCAGTGTTTAGTCACATCAACCTAGTGTGTTGTCACAACGACTAATAATGATGCAATTGTCAGTCAGTGTAACTAGTTTTTATTCAGCAGCACTAGTGTGTTGTCACGGGTTTTAAACATATCACGGGTCGTGAATCACTATGACGCAGGATGAATGAGGGTCTATCAAAATCAATGAACTATATTTCTCAGTGTATTGTCAAAGTCACTATGTACCAGTGTGTAGTCACCCGTATTACACAAATATCTTGTTACTATTTGATCGTCAACTCAAACATAATGGTGACTACACACTACTGCACTGCTGACAAATGTATTTATTTCAGACAATAAAAATCACTATAAAAACATAATATAGGGCGGGTCATATAACATCTATTGCACATTATGTCTACTTCAGGGGCACGAGCAAGTGATACCAGCCGTAGGCATGAACCAGTATGGTTATTACAAGAGCGAGATGATGATTACAAGAGTTAGAGATTTTCTGATCCAAATGAGTATTTCGTCGAGAGTGGGCTTTTCGTGCTAATGAATCACAGTAATTATGCACAGATTTGACAGAACTTGGTATACCGGTGCCACATAGACTTTCACTTACCATGTCCCGAAAGAATAGAGTCAACTATGAAGCATTAGTTAAACGTATACGAAATGAGAATAATAGGATGATGTTTCGCAAGTGCCGATATTATATGCTCCAAATAGCATCTGACATGGTCACAACTGCATTTGGTAGGGAGTTAACAACTACTGAGCGATCTAAGGTTTTGTCTAATGAACAATACTTATCAGATGAGTAAATATCTGATGAAAATTAAAAATTTTAATTACTGTTCACCTTATTAAGTATATAACGTTTATGTCTATGTCCTATTTACTTTAATCATCATTGTTGCTTTTTAAGTTTATTCAGTGTATTGTCATATGTCAACTCTTTCATTGTCACATCTTGTAATTGTCAATGTATGCAGTGTGTTGTCACTTTAATCAATCTATGCAGTGTGTTGTCAATTTAATCAATTTATGCAGTGTGTTGTCATATCCAAACTTTTTCATTGTCATTTTCCATCACTGGCAAATCAGTTTCAAACTATGTTAAACCGAGCATATATATACTACCTTTCACAGTTGTGTAAATACACCACCATTAAACAAAATGTATAGGAGCACATCACATGCAAGTTCTTTTTCACGCAATCACCAAAATAGTTTATCTTCGGGTAACAAACGTGAACGCTCAACAGATAGCTCAACATCGCTGAACAAAGTTTCTTCTATCGAATCATATACCGACTCCAGTAGTGTAACGTGGTATGGACGAAAACGTGCATTCCGCAATGAGCCCAAAGACCCTTATCACCCATTCAGACAAGCTGAACATGTAATTGTTGAGCCTGCAACTGATTATCCACCTCCAGGTGCTCATATCGAACCCACACCAATATGGCGACAATTATATGACAAACGTTGTGACCTTGAAGTATTTTGTTGTTGGCATGGAATTACAGTACCAAAGGCACATTCAGCTGATATTAACAATTCACAGAATTCAAACAATCATGACGAGGTCATTTCAAGGCTTGAACGTGAAAATGATCAAATGCAGCGTCGTCTTGATCGTTTCCACGCACTTTCGATTATGCCAAAATAGAGCATTTTGATCCTGAATATGCCAAAATTGAAATTTTAGAGGATCCGTTACTTGTTTCTAATTCTGAGCTTTCTGATTTATCTGATTTAGACGATGATACGTCTGACACTTTTATCTCATCATGTTTATATGTACTCGATAATCTTTTATATTGTTTTGAATATCAACCACGTTATTGACATCTTATTTTTACATTTATACGTTCTGAATAACTTATATTTTTTCAGAACGTATACTTTTAGAGGAGAAATTATTGGGTGTAATGTTGATAGTTTGTATGGGACCTTAAATTTAATTATATGTATATGTTTTTAATTTTAAAGTTTGATATGATAAAAAATAAAATGTATTTTTTAATTATCAAAATTTATTTATTGAAAATAATTCAATTTTTAATTAAATAAAAATAAACTCATCCTCTCACAAAGGGAGGGAGCAAAAAAATTTTAGGTATTATTGTTAGGGAGAAAAATGTTAGTAGGATAAAAGAAATTTATGTATTTTTAAATTATCAAAATTTATTATTAAATGTAATTAAATTTTTAAATAAATAACATAAACGAAATTTATGTATTTTTAAAATATAAAATTTATTTATTATTTATTTATTTTTTTAAATAAACATTTAACATTTTACTCAAAAAAAAAATACACAAAATCTATCACTAAGGACTAAATTAAAATTCAAAATAAAATTTAAGGGCAGTTATGATAATTATCCAAATATAGATTAATTTATTCAAGCATTACATATTTGGTGTGCTTGGTCTTGTCGATGGAGTTTGATATGCTAAAAAAAAAAATTATTTGTAAATTATCAAAATTTTTTGATTGAATATAATTAAATTTTTAATAAATAAAAATTTAATTACTCATCCTCTCAAAAAAAGAGGGAGCAAAATATTTTTAGGTATTATTAGGAAAACAAATGTCAATAGGACATAAAGAAATTTATGTATTTTTAAATTATTAAAAAAATTTATTAATTAATTTTTTTATTAAATAAATATTTAACATCAGTGAAACTTTAGACGGATTGGGCCAGTCCAAAGGTTTGTTTAAGTAAACTTTAAACGGATTGGAGCAGTCCAAAGGTAAGTCACAAGGTTTACTTAAACAAACATTTAACATCAGTTAGTTGGTGTGGCTTGATCTGATCATTGGAGTCCAAGACGTCAAATTGACTGACATTTTTTGTGATGGGCTAAGCATTGGACTAAACTATAGTATTAGGCTAAAAAAAGTCATATGAATTGATGTTTTTAGGATAAAGACGTTAATCTATTTGACGTCTTTATCTTAAAAACGTCAATTCGTTTGACGTTTTTAAAAATTGTCTGTATTTAAAAATTACTTTCAAAATTATTCTTATTTGGGATTTTTTTTAAAAAAATGCATGGGATAGGTCAAAAGTTCCAAAAAAAAAAAATAGAAAGATCAAAACATGGGTTATTTCTAACTGACATGGATTATGGGTTTGTTAGATTTGATGAAGTATACTTATCCATGTTGGTTGATAGGGATTGATTGAATGTGCCAGTCTTGTGCTGAAAATTTTGCTAGTTGATTTTAGTGTTTGTGTGTGCATTGCTATTAGTAGATTTTGAATGATTTTACGTTTGCATGAGGAAAGATGATCCTGTGCATTGAATTTTATTTTAAAATTATTGTATTATCAATTAAATTAAGGGTAATATTATTTAAATTTAATTTATTAATCTAATTGATTATAACCCTTGAATTAATTATGGACTCTAATAAATATTAAAATTAAGTGTTAATACAATGATACAATGAAACTATATCATTAAACTAAGTTAGATTATATCTAAAATTAGATAAACCCTTTCCTTCACCTGCCTCTAAATGCCACTTTTAATTGATCAATTAGACAAATCTTCCTATTTTGATACGGATGAAGGTCGCCGAATCAACAATGTCCGCAGCTAGAGGCAGGGACAACTATACTCTTTAAAGGCAGTGTGACCAAGTGGAATTTGAAGCTATGCGACCTGTGGTAACACAACACTAATCGGGTCCAGCTAGAAACATCACTCAATGTCCAATTGGATCACTTGATTACAGCCCAAATGGCCAATGTGTCACTTTATTATGTCAAAAAATACCTCATTGACGTTAATAGAATAGGAAATAAAAATTAACGGAATAATTACATTATAAAAATTTTAATACATTTAAAATTACGATGTCGTTTATAGGAGAGTACGACGTCGTAAAGCCAAACGCACTAACCCAGGTTTGCCTACCCTCTCCACTTGAGCGCGAATGTTCATTGATGAAATCCCTTCTCCATCCCCCTGTAATCGTTGCGACCAAAAACGAGTGGAGAGAGAGAGATGTGGCAAGGATGATGGTGATGAAGAAGCTCAGGAGAAAATGGAACAAATCTCGCAGAGAATTTCACGATGACGATAAGTTCTCTCTCCCAACACACGACGATGTATATCCTTTGGACACCCAAGGTCTTTCTCTCTAGCGATACATACAAATAAATATATATATATATATATATATATATATATAGCATATGCATTCTGGAAATGCCATCAATTCAGTTAGGGTTTATGTTTTATTCGTTGATTTGAATCTGCAGAGCAGGAGGAGTTGGTTCGATCTCTCGAAAGGACTCAAGCTCAGCAGTCTTTTCTCTGGAGGGTATGCATATTCGAATCTATACATACAGGATCTTGGTTCTTTTTTCTTTCATTCATGCGGTTAATTTTCCCAAGTTTCACAATAATATTCCCCCTGAGTTTGATTTTTTGTTTTTGTAGAGCATTTTTGCGGCACTACTGCTGTGTTACGCGGCGTTTCTCGTTTTCTCAATATATCAACAGGCTTACACTCCATGGGAGCTGGTATTGAGTCAATTCATTCATTCATAACACCATACATAATACATTTGTGTTTGCGATGTATGTGACGTGTGTGTGTGTGTGCGCGCACCCGGGCATGTCCATAATATATCCCTTTTTTGGCTGACAAGGTCGTATATGGGCCTTTTAGAACACCTCTTAATCCATCCAAACAGTTGTTCTTTACCCTCCCATTCCCATAACCCATGTACCTAATAAATCCTTACAGATACTGTTTCTGTAATAATTTTGTTGGTTGTGGAATAAAATTTGTTGATAACAAGTGCAAAGAAACAAAATGAAAAATTTTGGAAAGTAGTTCCGATCTCTGAATTTTCTGACCATGGATTGAATTCTGGGTGAGGCACGATAAATTTTCATAATGTTAAAAGATCTGAAATATTCTTTGGGACCTTTTTACAGTAAAATATTTAAAGGATATTGGGATTTGGGTTTTTAATTGTCAATTGCTGCCTCTGTTTGCCTAATGCTCCTAAATTTGCTGTAAAATATGGTGTGCTTGATCACTTCTTGTGACTATTGATTAGAATTTGAAAAGGACAGAATTGGCGAGAACTTATGCTGGACAATCATATGAAAGCCTTTAGCAATCCTGCTCATGATAAATAGACCATACCTGATAACAAGTCAAAGGTGGACAATCATTAACTTTTTAATATTATTTGTGAAAAGTTGGATTTATAATAATCAGTGGCATTAAAACGGCCAACTCTTAGATGAGGGTAAATGATAGCCCATTCCTCAACTGACTAATATCTACCAAGTATCTTTGATATATCGATGGATCATTACCTTATTAAAATTTTTAATAAGGTAACAATCCAAATGCAAATGAGGTAGATGCTTTCACTGTCATAAATAGATGGGAAAAACGAGGTAGTTAATATACTGTGTTCTGGAGAGTGTTTTTCTTTTTAAATGGAAATGCTAGTAAAATGTGCGTTGTTTTGCTTTGATAAACAGCGGTATCATGCTTATTTCATGGATGAGGTTGACTCATGGATGATTATGGCTGCAGGTTTGTTTCTATCCTTTCTGTTTCTTGCTTCCATTCTTTGGTAGCTGATTTGACATGTAATGCATTGTGAGAATGCTTAGCATATCTAGTTGGCGTGGCTCCTTCCTATGTGGCACCTTTTCGGTCTTTGAGATCTCACCTTGTCAAACTGGTTGTATTTGTTGGGGATAGACAAATTGAATTGTGCTTAAGGATAGACACAAAACATACAAGTTTCGGGAATCCTTTTTGACATTGTGTTGAAAGATCGAATGCGGTGCTGTTTGATGTTCCAATAATTGGCCTAACCTGTGAATAAGTTGATAAAGGTATCACTATTTTAAACTTGACAGGGGTAAGGATTCAGTTCCAATAAATATGAATATTGCCCTGGATATGGTCACCAGATGAGGGTAGTCACCTAAAACCCCAAGAACAAGACCTAGATATAGTGACGAGACAATGAGTCCTCTTTCTTTTGGTGTGTCACCAGATGATTAGTTCAGCAGATGGAAGTATTTGTCTGATGATATTCTTTGTAATGCATCTTTTTCATAAGTTTGTGATTTGTGATTCTTGAATGCATAAGTATGCTACATAAGTGTTGGTGATTTTATAATTTTTCAGATAGGGTGTGTGACTAATGCAAACATTGACAGATTGGGCTGCTGTTTTAGCGTGCTTAATGGCCATCACAGGGTTGCTTCACAATTCAGAGAATCATAGGCGATGGCTTTGGTACTCCTGCTGTGCCGGCATTCTACTAGCAGTATTCTGGTTATATCACATGCTGAGGAAAGCCAATTATGCATATTTATATTGATATATTTATGCAAGATCCTACTATGATTACAAGAACTTGTAAATAGAATTTGTGATTGAAAATTCATAGTGTATCCTCAATATCTTCCTCACTCGACATATAAATTTGGTATCTTGCAGATTGCCGAGGTTCAGGTGGGATGCTAGTTGGCTTCCTCTTGGTCCACTGAGGTATGTCTTACTTCTGTCTCTGCTTCCATCCATATTGACTCGTTAATGTACTGAAACGTGTATCATGCTTTCAAATTGGTAGCGGAGCTGCAGTTTGTCTTTATGTGGACAGTTTACTCAATGAGTCATCTGAAGAAATAAGAAAACTTCGAGGATACATGTATTCTTATAAGGCCACATGACATGTTTCATCTCACATTTGACGAGAATAGATACAACACATGCTGTAAATCTCAGATTTAGATGTAGCCCGGGAATCGAAATCCATTTCAGAAAAGCAAAGGGTTAGGCGTGATGTAGTCCGGTGGCTAAGATGTGAAAGAGCTTAACATCCTAAATTAGCGAAAGCACACCTCGTTCAGTGCAGAAACATGGTGGATTCTCTACTTGTGTTGGGATTGTCAAAGTGTATTGTCACCCGTGTAAGTTCTTTTTGGTCGTTATACCTTGCATAGTTTGTGGTAAACACCATGCAGTGTGCTCAAACATTGTTATCTTATTACCTTTTTTCACAACTGAACCATGGCATTAGAATGAAAAAAATGCTATCTGTATTTAACTTGGAGAATTAATTTGGAGATTCAACTCATCATAGCTGTTGGACTGACCTGAAATCATTGGAGTTCACTGTTAATCTTATTGTTACAATGAATTAGTTATGTAAATAGGTCCCAATAGCATGGCTCTTTAGAATGTTCAATTTAATAGTCACTATGAATGAAGTTTCCAAATTAAGTCCAATAACATTGCTTAATTTGGATAATGTGATTGGCATTATTATTTCCGTCATTAGAAGGCCTTCCATAGAATACCCTTTGCTTTATTTGCATTGCTTACAGACCATCTGAAATGCAACCAGAATGTAAACTTCACACGATCACTGTATTTCCTTTGTAATCTACTAGCAACAAGAAAATTGAATTGATCATTTACTTATCCTTAAGTCAAAATTTGAGGTAAAAGGGGTATAGGGGGAAGTCATGCCAGTAGAAGCACTAACATGATTGCGACTATAGAGCTGAAAAGAAAGACACCCTAGTTGATGGGCTAAAGCTAAAAAGGACAAAAATCACAAGAAGCTACTAAGTTTCGACATACAAAACTGACCACAGAAGCTCAAATCATTCCTCATCATCGTCAATGACCTTGGTACCCAATCCCTTCAGGCCTTCTGGTGGGATTTCTGCCACAGTAACAAGAGAGTAGAGCTCCTCCTTTGCATCTTCATCATCATTTCTCTTGCGAGCAATGCGAACTCTGATCCGCCTTGGGACGCTTCGGAACCCCCCTGCTCCAGATGTGCTTGTTTAGCTTCACATCCACTTTCACATCTTTTGTCCCCATGGCCTTCTCTGTGAACTTTCTGATCTCCTTGATAGCTTTAGGAGCCTTCTTCTTGAATGTGCTGTTATTTCCCAATGACAGTAAAGCATAAACACTTCAGATCATTTCTCAAAATATCACGAACACTAGTCATATCAGTGACCAAGAAAATCATTGACCATTCACCACTAGAGGATTGGCAAAGGCAGCACTTGGCAAAAACAATTTATCGCCAATCACCAACAGCAAGATATTAATGGAAGAAACGAGATCTCTTCATCAACAAATGTTGCAACAGGCAAACTATTCTTAGCAACATATTGAAATGACATTGTATCCCATTCATTTCGCTTTGGCTAAACCACAATCTAATTAATGCTATACTTTAAAAACGGTCATGTAACTTGAAATTCTAAAAATGTATGCCTTCCATTATCCTCCAAAATTAGAAAACAAAGTTATTTTGTTGACAGTTCATGCAGGCCCCTTCCTGGAAACAAACCAGGATAAGGGCATAGTATATATTGTATGCGTCCATAAAGTGCACAGTAGACATGTATTCAACACCAATACTTTGATTGACCAACCAAAAAGGAGGAGGTCAAAATACAGGTAAAGTGGGGGATGCCCAAAAACTTTTGAGAGATTCCTAAACCTAACATTCCCCCCTCATTTGTCCAATAATCATGTCACATATGAATACCAAAACAAAAGCATTGATAAAGCAAAGGATGGATCTTCAAGTAGCCAAGACAGATAGGCAGGTTTCTCTGTGGTTGCAGTAAAACTTGAAGATATTGATTTTAAAAAAAAAAATTCATTGATCCATAATATTGGTCAATGACAAGGAGGTTTGGCAACTACACAGCTATTACATGTTGCCCAACCAAGCTTAAGTACCATTGATATAGGAAACTAAATTGGCATCTACTAACCAAAACCTTGTATAATAGTTCAACTGTAAACAGTACAGATGGCAAAAGACTCTCATATATATATATAGCAAACTGTGGCATCAAGGTGATCTATCAATTAATCCAAAAACCACATTCTCACACATAACTTCATCTTTTGTGGGTTATTACATTACTTCAAGAATAAAGGCAAAAAGAAAGTGAAGTCACCCAGTTCGATCACATTACTATAATGGTATTTAAACTGGCTATCAATATGCTTCCTATAAACTAATTCATCCAAAAACTAATCCAGTATCGTATGACACTTTTTTGAACAAAACCATCATGATGCAAACCTTGCTTACAATTCATTCTTAGCACAAGCATCCTAATTAAACAGACCAGAAACAATTGTGTGGAGCAAACAAATATTTACGACCTTATTTACCCAAAAAAGGTAGTTAAAAGCCTAACTGCTAACACCACCAAAACAAACCATATCTATCACAAACATTCTAAAGCTTTATATTATTCTTGTAAGAGCAATTGACCCAAACAGAAAAGATAAATTAGGCAGTAGGCAAATCCTACATGGCTACCCACGTATATAACTTAAAACATATAAGTACATATACATGTAAAACTTCTGTATAGTAAAGCAGAGACTGGGACTAACCAGCCATGCAAACGCTTGTGAAGATTGATGGTGTACTCACGAGTCACCACCTCCTCTTTTCTTCCCTTGGTCCTCTCTCTCTCTCTCTTCACACAGACTCTTCAACTATTGCCTGCATTCAGTCACACAAACAAATACAATCATTTCAGTTCATTTTCCACTCAAAACAATTCAATTCACAAATCTTCCCCCACCCCCACCCCTAAAATTCTTTAAGATAAATTAACACAGATCTGAAACAAAATCAATATAAGGGTGTGTCGAGAGATATATACCTGCGGGCCTAGTTGGGTCTCTGATTGAACAGATACGAATTGAGAATGTGTGTGTGTGTATGCGCGCTCGTGTGTGTGTGAGAGAGAAAGAGAGAAAGGACCTGCGTTTGAAGGATGAAACGAAAGGGACGAACGGTGGAGGGGATGGCAAATAAAACCCTAAGCTACGCCTTTCTAAAGGGTGTAAAGTGCACATTTAGCCTTCGAGCTTTATTTTAATTAAGTTCTTTGAATTTTTTTTTTTCTAATTAAACTCGTAAATTGTGATATTTGAACATTTCAGTCTGCATCCGTTACATTTTCTAACGAGAAAGTCGTGAGGTGTGTCACTCACGTGATTGGGCCGCAGCTCACCTATGCCGTGTGGGTGACACAATCTACCACTTTTCGTTAAAATATATGACCAATGTAAACAGAATAACTCAATTATCCTAACAATTAATAATTTTAGAGATTCAATTGACAAAAGAAAAATCAAAAACTTAATTGACACAAAAAAAAATTAGAAATTTAATTGACACAATAGTTATAATTTAAAGGTTATATATATAATTTACTTGTCTAAGAAGCGTTATTTCTTTATTATGGTACATTATCTTTTTGCCTTATTTTCCAGGTGCCATGGCAATAGAACTTCCAAGCAAATTGGCATTGAAGCTCAAACATTTTTGTTAACTGTTGTTTCAATAATAACAGTACGTGACAATACTAATTTAGAATAAATGCAACATTTATATCCTCATTTGAGATATCTATCTATAACAGTAATCAGATGAATGGAAATTATAATTGATTGGTTTTAAGTTTTTTTTTTTTTTTTGTCATTTGAACCATCGCTTCTCCTCTCCCTCCCAACGATTTCATATCAGTGTTAGTCTACTAAATTAGGTCAACTTTGTCTTAATCGATATTCAGTTCAGTCAATAATACCATGAAAATTTTTCCGAATGGCTATGAGCAAGGAAAGACCTACTCTTCTTGAATAGCGCCCCAAAAGGACTACTTTCGGGAGCGTTGATATGGATTCAATTTTTTATTTTTTTTTTTCTTGGCAGAACATTGATAAATCTATTTATATGCAATCGGTCCTATTTAAAATTGACAGCATAGTGATACCACTAGACTCTTCCATAGTTCCATAAATGCACCAAGTTCAAACCAATTAGGAGGCAATTGATGGAGGAGGATGCCGCAATGAGTACAAAAGTACCAAAAACAAAAGTGAAAAATCTACCATCAGCATTTCATGTGGGCTATAGATGCCAGTGCTCTTGCCCTAAGCCAGAGTCATGCTACTAAAGGGCCCCTTTCAAGACACACCTTTGCTTCTTTGATTCGTAGCCTGTGAACCTGTGATCTAATAGTACTTCTTATCTTATAAAAACTTTAACTTCTTTAAATCAAGGGTTCAAGTACCCCCACTCACTTCCCTTTGTCCACACAGAGCATGCACAAACCCGACCCAGGCCTACCTTTTCTTAGTTTGGTATGGAAACAGAAGCAGCAACCCTCAATAATAATATTCTTTTATCACAAACAAACCAACAAAAAAAAAGGAACATAAGCAGTATTCGTAAGGCAATCACCAAGTCCGTAAGTGTTTGCCCAGAAAAGATGTTAGCAAATCTATGCAACAATCTCAGCAAGATTATCCTACAGACATGACTCTATTTCATCACACAGACACACATCACACTGAATCAACAAACAGAGGAAACAGTAAAATTGCTCTTTGTTACAAAGGATAAAGACAGATATCTAATGCTGTGAAAGAATACAAAAGACTTCTTGTAGATGGTTTCATTTTGAATAAGCTGTTGTAATACAACAAATGCTGGTCCATACATTACTGGCCATCCAATCCGAGTATTTTGACTCTAAAAAATGACGAGTATTTCATAGTTTGTCATGATCATAATTGAGCATCTGTTCAGAGTGGCTTCCATTGGGTATATGAATGGATTTGAAGTGATTTCCCTTCTAATCCCCCGACTGGGATATTGTGCTTCCAGGGATTGAGCTCACATGTATGTAGTGTTTACCTTCCATCTTTCAGAAATGAAAAAATCATCCATTCCTGACCCACTGGTAGAATCCACTATTCTTCGAAGTATGCGATCCAAAAGTTTTAAATGTACTCTAAGATTGCAATGAACTATGTGAATATCTCCGTAAAATGATAGCCAAGGCAGTCAAGGCACCAATGCTTGCTAAAATCTGCAGCATTGGAACTACCAATTACAAACAGCAAAAAAAACTACCGACTTAATCAGTTGTACTGTTGTAGATATTGTCATAATAAGGACACAAACGAAGAAGAAATGGATGGGACAGCAGGAAGGTGAGTCCAAAATTTTGAAAAATACTAGGTACACATAGTGATGCTCAATATCTCAAAATGATGTTGAACTACAGTATTCAGCGCAATAACAATCAGGTTATGCATGATAAATCAAATAAGGAAAAAAGAAAATGAAATGGCATGTAAGTCAGGGTTCTACAGAAATCAATGAACTTTGTCACTGGCTGCTCAAAAGGTGAAATAAGATCGCCGAAAGATCAGAACACTACTACAACAAAATATAACTGACCTTTGCATCTCTACCATAATGGTTTAGTACAGAGTGGAAAAATAACTTCAGCAACTTGAAACGAGATGCCTGAGGCATTAGAATCACTACTGTGTACTGTTTGTTGCAAGGAAAAGGCAGTATTCTCTGTAATGCTAACTGAGCTGATAATGGTGTCAAAGTTTTTCTAGCTCTGGAACGGCCCTCGTCTTGAACCTGCACCAGAAAATTACCAGACATTGCTAAAAGTTTGCAAGGAAAAAGTATTGAGTTCAAACATGTCTGTTTTTTGCACTTTCTTAATAGAAACATCAGCTGCTACAAATGGATAAGACCAGTGATTATAGTTGCAAGCTTGCTCACTTACATTTCCTGTTCGTCTCCACAATTATTTCACATTCAAAGATAATGGGGAAACTGTAACTCTACGTCAGCCATGAATATAAAGTTCAAATAGATAGTGCAATCCAAAGTAGAAGTATTCAAACAAGCTTGCATTTTTCGAGAGAGAAATTCTTTCCAATGGATATGCACATAGGGTGTTAGTTGCATTATCAGATCAATAACCATTGAAGGAGAAAAGGATATCCTAGAAGAATGTCCCATAAATATAAATATATATATCTATATATATATAGAACCCTATAATACTATCTTCATCACTTATGCGACATAGAAATTTCCAAATCAACTTCGTACACCAAGTTTTATGAAAGCATCATTTCCCATATTTTCTAACCTCTAAATGATTTTGAGCATCAATGCACCATGAATAGGATAGCATACTGATCTCAACAGCAACACCACACATTTTCACAGGAACTGAAATTTCAGTTGAAGACAGAAACAAAATTCAAGAATAATCCAATATAGAGATAGCAGAAATGCACTATACTCCCACCAACCTCAAAAGAAGTGCCAACATCACCAGAATAGATCCTTGACTGGTAGCAGCGTAATATCCTATCAAGCCAATAGTAATTCTCCTGAAAGAGCAGAATGTATCAACGTTAGAATAATTAAACTAACATATGTATTACATTCTTGCATCCACAACATTAATTCCCTGCTGGGTTGCAAAAGCAAAATAATCACAGATGTTGGAATAATATTACTATCGAGATTTGAAATCAACAGTTCTTCAACATTCTATTTTTTCTTTAATTCTTGGCAACCGCACAGAACATAATGGCCTTAACAGCAAAATGTCCTGATTTAACCTGGATTCCAGTTTCATGGGCCCTTTGCTCAATTTCAAGGATGGTTGAAACATCCTCATCTGAAGGTCCTTCCTCCTGAAGACGTAATATTTCATCCAAAGCAAGATCAACCTACAGGAAATACATGAGTAAGCAAACTATTTTCAGACTCAATTCCAACAACAATGAAGAAGTGCAGAAAAAGCTTACCAGTGAGGAGGAGATGTCTGGATCACACGAAAAATTTACACTAATATCACCACGAACATTACCAACTCTGGAGGGTTTATTACCACCAAGGAACACAGAAACGCCAGCAGAGTAAATCTGAGACATAACCAGAGTGAAGCGGAGAGAATATACTTAAATGTAAAGTGGTGATTTAAACAAGTTACAAAAATACAAACAATTCATCCACACCTGTCCATGCTTGAAGCGAAGAACATACATCATCTTTGTTTCCAGTAGCTTGCTCAAAAACCCAACAAAGTGAACATCCTCCATCTACCAAGAGTTGAAAGAAAAAGAGATATAACTCATACCTCATAAAAAAGGAAAATAAGTCCCAGATAGTTCATGAGTACAGAGCTTAGTTGATTCACCCAAAAAGGCAAAGATACCATGATTTCATTCTTCAGCTCAACAGGAAAACAAAGCTGAACTGAGCACTGTGCCTCCACCATGGGGCTGCGAACAACATCTCTACAAGCACATCTAATGTGTTAGGTGGGCATGCTATTATCTATGACACATAGATAAGAATAACAAATGACTGGGTGTTCAAGAAGGGATAAAGACGGGAGGCTAATGACTTTCACCTATTATTACACACTCTACATATGAAGGTTTATATACATGTCAGCATATAAGTTATTCAACTCAACAAAAATTTGTCCCAACAAATATGAGGTCTATGTATAATATATAGGTCTATGTATAAGATCTAATAGATAATATTAAGGCTCTTTATTACACCTCTCTCTATATTGCAGTCTATCTACCCAATTATTAGCTCTCCATGTATTAGACCTAATGCATGTGTATATAAGATATCTGTCTATCTATGAGTGTCTGTGTATCAGCAAAAATTCTTTAAAGTCAGGTAGACCTGTTGGTCCAGCTCAATTAAATGAGCTTCAGTCTTTGCTGTGTCACCCATTTGAACAAATTCAATCACTGGTTACTGAATTAAACTTAAAAGCAAAACCTACCTAATTATGGTTGCAGGAAAAGTGAATGGTAAGCCTTTCAGGTCATCACGGTTGAAATGTAAAATGGGTTCAGGGAGTCGTGGTATTCCACCCTGCACCAGCAATTAAGAAACACAGTAAACAACAAATGCCTGATATCTCTAGGGCTAGCTAGCATGAGAAGAGGGATGCAACTTACCAAATACTGCTGTATCAAAGGACATGCAATAGCAGGATCAAGATTCCCAACAATCACAACAGTAAAAGTTGAGGGGTCCTTAAAACAACTGTTAAAATATTCACAAGCTTTAAATGGATCAACTTTTCGAAGGTCATTAATCTTAATTGGCTGCACCAGAAGAAAGGACCATAAATCAGTAGCAAACACTCTCATCGTGAAAAACTTGGAAATCTAAACCAGGAAATCAAGCTCACCCTGAAAAAATAGGAGTTCCCATAATTAAGCTCCCTCACACGGTTGGCAAATGCAGTGTAAGGATCTCTCTCTTGAGCACGCACTGCTTCTTCTGCCATTTGCATCACTATTTTTACATCTTCATCCCCTGGTTCTACCTTAGTCGTGAAGAGTTGATAGACTAGCTGACAAATTGCAGAAATCCAAAGTTTAGATAGAAGTCATACACCAATAGCATCGGTTAGCCAATTAATGAATCTGCCAAACGCCAAGAAGATATAGCTGGAGAAGAAAGCATGACATCCATGTTAAGTGCTCCACTCAACACAACTCCACAGTTAAGCGTCACGTTTTCTAAATTTCTAGTAAACAATATGCTATTATATCCTCCTTAACACCATAAACTAGCTGCTGTCAATATCTTCCAGTAACAGATTTTCTAAATTCAACCAACGTATCACCTTTTAATTATTCCACATCTATAACAATCAGTATCTTGCTTCTACCTTCTAGGAGCTAACCTATAAAATTTCCAACGTATTTTAACATAAACAAGAAGAGCTTCTCCTTAGAAGGCAGTTCCCGGGAGTAATTTCAAGAAGGGAGTAATTTTATAGAGGAGGGACTTTGCTAATGGCACTGCTGCACCAAAGATACTAAACCCGAGGTAATCTTGCATCAGATTGGGGTTAAAAGTTTGTTGGGTTGACAACTCCAATAACAAAATAATAAATCAGAAGATATAGAAAGATTCCAAAATTTGGAACCATGGTTCCCTCAACCAGCAACTTAATTTTCTTTAAACCTTCAAAACATAGTTGAATAGAAGACAGAGCTCAACATTTCAAGATAGTTTTAGTGATTACTATCATTATCATCTATGCAGACATAAACATTAGACAGAATATTGTGCATTCTTCAAGTAGAATATGCCTCATGTAAACTTTTTAAAACTATATGCCCATGGAAAAATGAGACGTGTAAATATCATCCAGTGAAACAAACCTGCAATGCAGTTTCCAAGTCTGAAGGAGAACAATCACCAGAAAAGGTTCTCATATATGCTCCAAGCGATGTGCCAATTTCAGCTCTTTTACCAGCAAGCATATCCATTAGCACTGATGGTCTATAACCAAATACACCAATTTCTCCAGCAATGGTTGAACCCATTGAACATGAAAAATACTCGCTTTCTGGGAGTTCAGATAAACCCCCATAAGCGAACCCTGTGAAAAGAACCTGTTTGCACAAAGTGTTAATAGGAATCACTCGTAGCAGATCAACGTACCCTTTACAGAATATTCACTCATTAAAACTGCTACTCAAAAAGAACCTTTTAGGTAAGCGATAAGGCCAATGATTACACTTTACCATATCCTCATGGAACCCTATGGATTTCAATTCCATGCTTGAAGCAAAAATAGCGGCACCAGAGCACTACAAAAATTGGCCCAAAACCATGAGCCATGTCTAAAGACAATGTAGATATTATGTCTTTTGTCACCGGATTTCCGTTCCACATGAAAGTTCCAGTTAATACTCTCAGTTGCTTTTCTTTTGATTGGGAACAACTTAATTTAAATTTCTAGTTCTTTCATCTTCCAATTGAAACTTAATGTACTTTCATTTCTGATTGAAACTTGTCAATCAGACTATAAGTTGTTCTCATCATGAAAACCAGCTTAACTCAACTCCACAAAGCCTTGTCACAACTACCTAGGGTCAGCTGTATAAAAATTGTTCCTCCATCGTGCTCTAGCAAGTGTCATAATATCGATTAAACCGCAAGCTACATATTATTTTTTACTATCCTATTCAAAGTTGATTACCGTCTACTCCTACTCCTCGCATTACCAATGATAGATATCACATCACTATTTTTATAAACAATTCCAAACCACCTAAGTCAATTCTCTATTAATTTATCTCCAATTAGTGCCCTTAATCAAAAAGACCAATCAATCACAATTTTTCCTGGGATTCAGGTCTAATCAATTTGCAAACTGATATTTATCTTTTGACATTGTTGACATTAGAGTTATTAGCCTATTTATTAGGAGGTATATTAACACAGTCACTCTGTCTTCTTCCAGCCTCCTTTCTCTTTATCTACAATCACAGTCACAAAACGACGAGATTCACATTGTCTGAGACCAAAATATACGTATCAGATAATTGCAAGAAGCCCAAGCTCCCTGTAATTTTCACGTCACATTTACTTGGTGGGGATCAGAAAGTCAAATCAGACTTCCCAAATGGTTGGAACCTCAACCTAGCATATGCATCAACTTCCAAGACAACACTCCACCATCATAGTTACCATTTGCATAGAGGACTGTCTGTCCCAAGAACTAAAAATCCTACAATCCGTGGTACAGAAAAAATTTTGACCAACTCATTAGCTCCTGCCAATCCTACATGAAAAATACCAATATGCAGCATGGTTCAAACAATGGCTGCACATACATTACCCAAAATCCAAAAACGCTACATTTTCTTAAACAAATATTCCCTCTATATTTCTTTTAAAGATTTGCTGACTACTGGAAATGGCAATTACTAGCATAGCTCCTCTTGGCAAAGGCTTCCTCCAAACAAGTCCAAATATTTCTACGTGGACCACTACTTCACCCACGCAGAATCAATACCAATGTTTTGAAAAGCTCGCCTAGGTACTCGCCTAGACAAGAAAAGAAGCAAAGCGAAGCGAAGGTCTCTCGCCTTGAGCACCCCAGGCGAAGTGAATGTGTCTGAAGCGAGGAAAAAGCGAGAAAAGCAAGCGCCATAGTTATGTGAGGCAAGATTATCTTGGATTGTTTTATTTTTATTGTGGACCGCTGGATTGGGGCAATTGAAAAAAAATTATAAGATACCCATGCACCCAATTACCCCCTTATCCCATAAATACAACACCCAAACCCTAATTTTGCTCAAAGGTCAGACGAAGACTATCTGCTTGTTGCTGCTTCTTCTTCTCCTTCCTCACTGGTCTACACAGGTTTGTCTCCTTCCCTTTTTCTTCTCTCTTCTGCTTCTCCTCTTCTTCTTCTCGCTGCAAGTTCTGTCTTCTTCTTCTTCTCTACTTCTTCTTCTTTTATGCTTCTTCTCTGTTGTTGTTTCTTTTCTTTCTTCTGTTTCTTTGCTTGTTCTTTGGTTCTTCTTTTCTCTTCTGGTTCTGATTCTTCTTCTCGCTTCTGATTCTGTTTTTTTTTCTGCTTCTGCTAATTGTCTAATGCTGAGATTTTTTTTTCTGCTTTTGTTTCTGCTGTTTTTTTTTTCTTTTACTTTTTTTTTTCTACTTCTGCTGATTGTCTGATGCTGAGATTTTTTTTCTGCTTCTGCTTTTTTTTTTTTAATTCTGTTTTTTTTTTCTACTTCTGATTTTGTATAGCTGATGATTCTGTAATACTATTTTACTGATAGTAGTGCTAATTTTTTGGATTGCTATAATCCTGATTTTGATTCCATAATGCTATTTTGCTGATAGTAGTTTTGCTTTTGCTTTTGCTTCTGATTTGCTGTATATCTGATTTTTCTGTAATGCATTTGAACTTGTGATTTCGCTGGTAATAATGCTGATTTTATTAGTAGTGTGATAGTGTTGATTTTGCTGATTTCCTGTACTGTTTTGTTCCTTTAATTGTAGTGTGATAGTGACATTCATAAACAAATAAATGGATCCTAATTTTTTTGTAATTGATTTGAACTTGATGATTTCGCTGGTAGTAGTGCTAATTTGTGGAGCATTGAATAAATGTTTAGTTGCTTGAATTGTGTGTCTTATGTTTTTAAATATTAGGATTTGAGATATTATTAGTATTTGTTTTAATTTAAATATTTAAGCTATGACTGTTATTAAGATTTGAGATATTATTAGTGTTTGTTTTAATTTAAATGTTTATAATTTTACTTGCATTTAAATATTTAGTATATATAAAATTAGAATTTAGATGTTTAGAAGTAATTAAACTAAAATATTTACTTTTTTTTTAACTGTTCACTTCGCTTTAGTAAAGCATTTCGCTTCGCTTCTCGCCTACGCATTAAGAGCCTTAGTCGCTTCGGTTCGCTTTACGCCTTAAATAACACTGATAAATACATCCAATTTTCATGTAACAAACTTCCAAATATAATATCCCTTAACATCTATTAGTTACAATGCCTTGATGAACTGAAAACTAGGTCTTAGGCATCCATTAATCACGCAGCAAGAAAACATTTATTACAATTTAGCTAGGAAATTTGGCCCTACATCAGTTCTTAATTTTCTCACTGATACTTGCTTGGATGTGAACATCCGACCCTCAAACCTTTCTTTCTTTCTTTCTCTTCATTATATTTACATTCTTTTTGTTTTTTCTTCTCTTTCCTTACACTTTATTGTTTTACTTGTTTTTCTTTCCTCCCTTCTATAGTTATTTTGTAGGAAAATTTACTAATGGAAGAAAATGAGTGCTGGGAAAGAGTTTTCTAACAGGTCTTTAATAGTGACGTTTTAATTTAGGCATTTATCAGGGACAAGCAAAGATTCCATTTTTCAAAATCTGTTTACCCATTTTTTCCCATGCCTTGGTGTAAAACCAATTGAAATAATGCTTAAAAAGTTCAGAACGATGAATATCCTCATGACAAATGAAAGAAATATAACAATAAATCTAAAATGTTAGAACTAATGTATACAAGTACCATAGATAAGCAATTTCAAATCCAACATTCTTTAGCTCATATTGCAGCTAAAAACTCATACCTGGTCATCAAAGAAGTCTGTACATTTGTAGCAAACTCGCATGCCATTTGATAGAATCAACTCAGTAGCCCCAATATTGGAATATTCAACCTGCTGCACTATTGTCCTAAAAAAAATCATCAGGGAGATCAGAACTACAAGGACAAATCACAAAATTGTTTGTCCAAAGTAGAGTGCAGTCATTAGGACCATAATCAAAGTATTTTCTTCCAAAAAAAGGGCTTAACGAATCTATTTATACACGAGGCAAAAGGAGGTATAATCACACACAGTGCAATTAGTGGTTCATAATGTATTCCATCTAGTTGTCATAGATTGGTGAAGACAAAAGGAATCACAATAGAACTCTTATACTTTCTGTTTGGGGATATTTTTAGCATGTATTGTACGAGATTCTACACTTAGAAGATCAGGAACTTACCCTGGATTTGGCTTAGCACTAACGATTTCTTCGGGGATGTGTTCTTCGTCCCAAGGAGAAATGTTTTTCTCTTCCTCTAAAGAATTGATCCTCAGCACAACAGCTTTCAGATCATCCAATGTTGCAGTAGCTTCAGGCTCAATTGTCTTTATAACACAGTTCGATGATGTTTGAAACTTTTCTGAATATTTGGATACTTCGGATGTCAATATATCTGCTCATATAGGAAAGTCGGAGCAATTACATAGTCACATTCATTTTAACCTAAAGATCTAAATACCAGCAAAATTCAAAAGGTATCAGTAGTAAGAACTCACAGGGTAGAATAGTTTTTTGGAGTTGAGCTTCATACTCGATCCCTACAACAGGTTCATTTTGGAGAAAATGCTAGCAAACAAAACACAAAGGCATAAGATCATACAAGACTTGATGAAAACTACTAAAGCAAAATCAGTAATTGCAAATACTTGCAAATATTCATCTCGTAAGCTGGTTGATTGCATTTGATCACGCTCCAAATAGGCAGATTCAATCTCTGACATCATCAAAGCTCGGACAACAGATATTTCACGTTCAGAAAACCCATGTATTCGAACCCTTGCAACCTGAAAAGCAAGGTTTCAGCAAAACAAAGAAAAAGAAGGTGCAACATTAGGATAAAAGGCACACCTCAGTTAGCATCGATTCCAAGGCCTCAATAGTCCCCTTCTCTTTACAAGACGAAGTCATTATATAAGCCTTTACTGGACGAACAAGGACATCTGCAGCAGCTGAACATGAGAAGTGTGGTGGATCCCTCTTACGAGAAATTTTAAAGAATCTCTGGTTTAAAGCATGAAAGAACATGGATTCTGCAAGTAAATTCCTGTAATCCTTCACAGTCTTTAGCTCATTTACTGGCATCTTACAACTGATCATCACAGCCGACTGTTACAAGACAATTAAAGGTAGTGAATTAACTTAAATTTCCAAGTGCAAATTTAGTACACTTCCATATCGAAGTTACAGAAAAATTGTCATAGCTCCAGGATTAAGTCAACAATCCATGAAAAACTCACCCCAGCAGCTTCAGACTCTACAAAGCATGAAAAACGTGGCTCCTCATGAGATGGAACCAAAAATTTTGGTATAAATGGAGGATCAGGCGCAGAAATTTTATTTCCGAAGTGATTCCTTATCAACTCTACAACACTCTGTTGTACATAAAGGGGAAGAGAGACCGTCATAAAGCTTGACTACAAGGACTGAAGCATTAAAGGAAAATCTACATTTTAACATCCAGACCTGGGTATCTGGAAAATCTCCAACTGCTATCACAGCCATATTTTGTAAATGGTACCATTTCCTATAAAATTGCTTCACAGTTTCAGAAGAAGCCGTCCGGATTACCTTCTCCAATCCAATGGGTAAACGCTCAGCATACTGCAATTAACAAATGAGATTATAGAACTCTAAAAAATTATACAGTTACTCAGAAATAGAGTCAATGTCAAAAGCAAGATGCACTTTTGAGATTCAGCAAAACATTAGCTCAAGAATCCTCTCAACAATGCAGCAAAACTGAAGCACTAGACATCAGCCATGATTACAGTAATTTTGTTATTTCAACCACTTCATGATGTCTTAGTTACAAAAACTGTCATCTAATTGAACGGCAAAATACTATGAAACTCATGTCAAAAAGCAAATAAAAAAAAAAACACAAATGTGCCATCTTCTTTATTCTATTTTCCTTTCTTTCCTTTTCACATAATGTTACAGAAGATTATTGTTCTCAACAATGAAAATAAGTTGTTGGAAATGACATTGTTACCAGATGGTTGTTCACTAATTAAAGATCTCTCGTAGGTTAGTTCAAAGAGCTAATGAAACCATTCCTTTAATGATGCCATAACCATGTGGTATCAGTGAAAAAGCCTCCAGTATTCGTGGGAGGGGGAAAAGATAACAAGAACAGAGGAATTAATAGTCAAAGATTGGAAAATCAGAAAGAAAACCTTTGAATCTTCCATCATGAGAACCCAATGAGCATCCTGCATTCTCCCATTAGCATTTCGGTTCCCACGATACTCTTCCAAAACAGCTCCTCTTTCTTTTTCTAAATCAGTGGCCGACACTCGAACCTGTGCTGAACAAGAGATGAGGGTCAAATACATAGAAAATCCAAATAAACACAAAGGAATCAGTTGATACCTCTGAACTGAATTCTGCCAAGACCGAAATAGCCTGAGATAATAGTTCAGGTTTGTCAACAGGAACAAACAATTCATAAACAGTTTCATCAGCAGATGTCACTGCATTCTGGCAGGCACCAAACTCTGCCCCAATACTTTCAAGAAACTTGATAATATCATGATTAGTGTATTTTTTAGTGGCACTGAAAGCAAGATGCTCAACTATGTGTGCAACTCCACGCTCTTCCTCCTCTTCCAAAACTGAGCTGCCATAAGTTCAGTAATTTGGCATGTGAACCAAAATCAACTAAGTGAAAATATATAGAAAGGAATGAAAATAAGGAATTACCAAAAGTGAACAGAAGAAAGGTCTAGTTTACTCTAAGAAGAACCAGTTAAAAACTTGAAAATAAATATCTTGTTTAGAGCAAGACTGTGACAATGAGTAAATACGCTTTCTCTATACAAAACCACAAAAAACATCCCCAAAATGGGACAATTCTCATGTCTAAAGGCCATGAAATGCAAAATGAGAGTATGACATTCAGAATCAATTTTGGGGGTGCATTAAAAGAGGTACATCCAAGGTAAGGAATTTCTAAAAGCAGGAACCCCAAAGACCAAAATCCATTAGCACATCTCTCACCCGATGCTTGTCCTTGCGCCCCCCAACCCAACCAAAAAAAAAAATTGAAAAGAAATAAAGCATTTCTTCTCTTTGTAACTTATTCCCTCTCTCTCCCTCCCCCTCCCCCTCCTTGACTAAGAAGTCTGGCCTTTTTCACAAAGTTCATCGTATGCATTCTGAAAAAGGTTGAGGGGCCTCTGGCACTTGAACTGATAAATATCCGGTGGGAGATGCTGGAGTGGGTTTGGCACAGGGTTTGTTCTTATGTGCATAATCATAAAACAGCCGCCAGACCATGCACTGCAAAGCCATTGATTCTCCATGAGCTCTCAAGCATGTGTCCTATCCCATCAATTTAGAAACCAAACCCTGACATTAGCCAAGCACCAGTAAGGAGGAGATCAAGGAATTGGAAGGTACTGCTCTTGCCCCCATCCTCACTCCCTGGTTTATAGTTGGATTTGCAGAAAATGAACTTATCATATTCATTTTTCTGGAACCTATTGCATTCTTCTGTTTGGTTTACAATGATAAAGTGTTGAAGATTTCTTAATGAGACATAATCAATTAAAAGAAGAGGTCCCTCTGGAGTCTAGTACTTTACAATGTATTTTACGCGAATCAAGTACATTTATACACACACACACACATAGTGCAAGTATACGTATACCATGTAAGCTCTCCTTTTCATCGACAGCTGAATATTGTCTCGACACTTTTGAAGATTGTGATGTGAATTGGAACACCAACCTAATTAGTGTAGTTCAATTCAGTGGACTATCCGAACTAAAGGTCATACTATCATGTCAACTCCAACTTCAACAATGGAAGTTGATAGATGATTTTGGACCAACGGATCTTTGGTCCAATGGTATTCCTTATCTTATGAAGGCTTCACCTTCTTGAGATCAAGGGTTCAAGCCCCCTCCCCTCCCCTCCCCCAAAAAAAAAAAAATAGGTGATTTTGGACCCTAATGCCAACTCAGTTTACCAATATACTTTGACTTTTTGGTAGGCCATTGATATAATGATCTAATATTGCTATGTATTCCAGAGTTCATCAGCGAATGTTTGTGGACATAGGGAATTCTGGTGAGGTAGTCAAAAATACAGTGTATTTCGGCAAGCCATATCAAGTGGCGAGCGAAGGTATACTTCCTCACTTGATAGGCATTCTTCCATTTGATAGGCGTTCCTAATCCTGGTTAGACAATCTTATAACCAAAAGAATTCATATGAGATTAAATTTTAACTCCTGGATTTCAGGTTGTCACAGTGAGTTTGTGGTAACATTAGATGTTGTTTGGTTAAATAGTAGTAGTAACCAGAATGGGTTTCTGCTTGAGCCATTCAGAAGTTCTGCATCGACGGGCTTACTTATTTTCTCCTAAAACATTCAACTCCACTGATGTAATCTTCAATTGTACCAATAGTATAAGGAGAGCAAGAAATTCTCATACTTTCTAGAGTATATGCAAAGTTGTAGACAATGCTGTCCAGCAAATTATTGTAATGCTTTTTTTTAGTGTGATGGAAAAGTGGAAGGATGAAAAGTTGGAGGGTGAAATCAAACATCATATTGGGTAAGAAAGAAAAATAGGAAGGATAGAAAAGTGGATGGATTAGCCTTCCATCCAACTCACCAAAATGTATCCTTCCAAAATTGAGAGAAAAAGTGGATAAAAAATTAATTATGCATGATGAAATGTATATTATTAATTTTATATATAATTATAATAGTAAAATATGCATTTATACCTTTTGCTTCCTTCTATTTTTCCATCCATACTAAACACAAAAAAAATTAATTTTTCTTACTTTTCATCCCTCTTACCAAACACAAAAGAGGAAAAGAAGGATTCCTCATTTAAAAGAAAGAAAGGGCATTACTCTTACTTTTCATTCATCAATCTTTTCATCCACCCTACCAAACACAACATAAGTATCCCAGGCAGGCTCCTTATCATAAGGAAAGTGTCAAAATTTAGTCCAATATGTGGCCTTAATGGAAGTGGGAACTCACAAATCATCTTTTTTCATTGATAAAGGGTGTTCATGCAGCACAAGTCACAACTTTGCCAATTTGTTGGCCAAGTCTATACATTACCATTCTTAAGACAAGTATCAGTCTTTGAGTTAGCCTCTTAGAAGAGTTCTCATCATGTTGTTCTTACAATATATATTATTGTATTGAGATCATATTCTCACCCAGTGTTATCAAAATCGGACTAGACCGGCCGGTCAGACTGTGAACCAAGTCTTACACCAGTCCGATTTGTTTAACTGACCGCTTGTGTGCTTGAACAGTTAAAAAATCATAAAACTGGCTGATTTTTGGTGAAAATCAGTGAATTGAGAGATTCATATAACTCGGGCAATTCGAATAACACCTCATATATAAAATAAAATAAAAAACTTATTTTTGGGGCAAATTTAGCCCTAAATCAACAAAAACCACGGGCATGTTTCAGTCTTCGCTTCTTCTCTAATCCAAAATGACATATAGGAACATGCATAGGCACAGGCCAGCAACTCCACAGTTCAACTCGAACTCGAAGCCTCCAATTCCTCAACTCAGCTCGAAGCCTTGATCTATTTCTCCACTCAATCTCTCACCCTTCCTCTATTTCCCCCCCCCCCTCTCTCTCTCTCTCACACACACACACACAGAGTAGTACAACACACACTCAATTTGTAAGTCACACTCACCTATTAGGCACAGACCAGCAACCTAATTGAGAAGAGAGAGAGAGAGAATATGAGAGGGTTATACGGTAGACAGAAAAGAAGAGTTTGACTGCCTAAGTGGCAATGGGCATTGGAGGCCATGATCATGCATGCATTGGAGATTAAAAAAGTCTGCAGGGGTGGAATGAAATTCACAAGTTTAATTAAGAATTTTAATTGTAATGTGATTGAGATTTTTATTGTGATTGTGAATTTTATTTGTAATGTAACTGTGTTTTTTATTGTGATTATATGGGTTTTATGCTTTGTCAATTTGTTTTCTCTAGAAAAATGTATTCTTCATATTTTTTTAGTTAAATTATTATGATTTATAAATTTTTTTTTAATTATACGGCCAGTCCAACTAGTTGACCCATTGACCTGGCCTCCCTGCCAGTTTGATGACTGGTCTGGTTCTGATAACTTTGCTCTCACCTGGCGCTTGCACCAATCCAGACAATGCCCTTGTTTCTTTTATCTGTGCCTTTTCTTTTGTATTTCTTACTTTCAATTAACTTTTTGCATTTTCTCAAGATTATTTGTTGGTGTGACTTTTGCTGCTTCTTTCATTTCCCCCTTTCTTGCTTTCAGAACTTGTCTTCCCATCAAGTACTTAAATCTTGCACCTTCACTTACCAGTGCAACGCAGCCCAGCCCCCCAACAATTCACTGTGTGGTGGTCCTATTCCAAGTGAAATAAGCCACAACCATTGGGTTCTCTGATATGAGCCATGAACCAACTATCAAGTTCCCAATCCCAATCGCCAAATTTCAAACTAAAACCCATAATCACCAGAACTCCGCATTAGTTAAAATCAAACACGCACACGCACATCAGTATCCGCAAACAACTACAGAATTGAAAATTAAAATAAGGAAAAAAACACAAACTACTAATTTAAGACACAATTCACGCAGAGAACTACTCCACAGTCCATATCAGTGAATATACAAGTAAGGGGGGGTGTTACAAGATATACTTACCCAGCTTTGACAGCAAGTGCAAGAGCAGCTCTCATTTTGGGCTTGGAATTGCATCGGACATAGTAGCATAGTCCATTTTCAAGTCGACCATAGTCCACTCCGAACGGCTTTTCCGATAAAACATCGTCCATGTTAACATTTACTAGTTTCAGTGACCTAAACCTATGTTTCTTCGCGATCTGTAACGACTCCGCCGGTAACAAATCCATCTCTCTCTCTCTCTCTCAACGCAGTTTGGGTATTTATCGCTTTACGGGGAGAATATCCGCTGCAATATATATGGTCCTAGTTATTCCCCACGTCTAAAGACACAACGGTTGTTTAAATTAAAAGGATCGACATAACATTACTTGTAGTAGTTTTTTTTTTTAAATTAATCAAAATATATCGTCGCTTATATCCTTTATATTAATAGAACTGACATAAAAATATATAAAAATTTTCTAAAATAATACTATATATATAAATGCCTCTGAAAAAAAATAAATATTAACATAATCTATTAAAATTTATAATCTTTAAGTAATAAATAAAATTTTGTTCATTTATAACACTCGTGAATTTATCTCGTCTGTTACCTCTCAATTCAACACAATATAATTATAAACTCAACCACCATATTTTTAATCCATCCTATTCTCGTGTAATAAATAAATACCTCAAGAAAAAAATAATAATTAAAGAATACAATTAAATTCACAATCTTAAAACGATAAATAAAATCAACAAAATTATGCTCAATTATAAAAGTTATGAATTTATCACCACTATTACCATTTAACCCCAAAATGACATAATATAATTATAAATGTAATCACCAAATTTTTAATCATCCACAAATAAATATACACAGAAACACACCCGCACACATTTCTTTTTTTATTACTAACAAATTTTTCTAACTAATAATTGTTTTTATTAGAAATATAATAATTCAAGTAAGATAAAATAATAATAAATTAATATTTCATTAAAAAATAGGATAAAAATTATGAACATAGCCTAAGTTTGGTAATATTATTCGGACACCTCCTAACATTTTATAAATAACACGGAAACCTCTGATGTTTAAAATATATTACACAGAGACTCCCTCTGTTTCCCTTCTATCAATGTTGCTAACGAAAATTGATAATTTTATCTCAAAAAATTTTATTATTTTGATAATTGTCTTTCTCCAAATTCAATACCAAAAAAATTTAAAATTTTAATAAAATCAAATAAAATTTGATTTAGTATCCAAAAAATTGATATAATTTAATACTCTAAAAAATTAATTAAATAAATTTCAATATTATTTTGATAGTAATTCGACATAGTTGAATATAAATTAGAAAAAATTAAATGTTATTTTTTCAAAAAATTATATATAAATTTACAATCTAAGGCTCATTTTGTGTTGAATATTATTTAATGTTTATAGTCAGTGCTATTTTTTGATTTACATTAAGTGTTATTTACAAATTAAGAAGAAAGTGATAAAATAAATGATGTCAGATATATAAAAATTTTAAATTAATTTCATGAAATAAATAATTGCATAACATGTAATTTCATCTATTTTATGAAGTAAATAATTAAAAAAATAACACAGAGGAAACAAAAAAAAAATAACAGTATGAGAGAGAGAGAGAGAGTTATATGAGAAATAAGAGTTTTGAGCTGTAAAATAAATGAAAATCCAATTAGCACCATCGGATCAAAACGATCTGAGCCACAAAAAACTCAAGATAAACAATCTAACTATTTTATTATATAGATTATACGATGTCTGTGTTTTTTTTTTTTTTGGTGGGGGGGCAAAAGTGATTTCTTTTTTTTGCTGGTTTTCTAAATTATGCCCGTATCCTCACTTAAATGCTTGTTTTTTTTAGAGGCTAATCACAATCTGCGACAAATTATCATCTATTTTGTCGTTAAAAATATTTAGGTTAATTATAAATTATACCCCTCAAAGTTAAAATATTTTATATTTATATTTCAAAAAAAATTTTATACATTAATATTCGTTAAATAGCTCTTAATTGTATCGTGTCATAATATTTTTGTGTCTTGTTCGAGTCAATAAAAAATATTTTTAACACAAAAAATATTTTCATGTCGAATCAATTGCGTTGTGTCATATATTTCACAATTACGACAATTCATATAATACTATTTAATATTTTTTAAAAATTAAAAAATATCTATTTTTTGTCTATAATATTTATTAAATAATTATTTTCTGTCTATAGTTGTGTTATTCGTATCTAACTTTAATTTGATCGGACAATGAAAAGATTTGTGTCTAACTGTAGACAAAAAATAACTATTTAACAATTATTGTAGGCAAAAAATAGATATTTTATAATATTTTTTAAAAATTTTGAAAAATATTTTTTTATTGACTCGAATATAATAAGAAAATGTTATGATACGATACAATTAAGAGTTATTTAATAAGCATTCATGAATGATTGGATCATAAATATGAAATATTTAAACTTTAAGGGGTACAATTTATAATGAGCTTAAACTTTTTTAACAAAAAAAATGGACAAAGTTAGTCTTAATTGTGTATTGCTATGAATTTATGTCTTTCGGGGTATAAATTAATATTTTTAAACTTTGAAAATTCAAATTGAGATTTGAGTAATCTTTTGAGGTGCAAGTTAAAATTAGCCCCATTTTTTTCGGTTGCCTAAATTACACTCACCTGAAGTTTTGTCAAATAATAAAGATAACAAATTCCCCAGCCGTATGAAAAGCGAAGAATTTTATGACGTAAGCAAATCTTATCTCTAACATACTTAATTTGCCCATAGAAGATCATATGCACATCATGTAAAGATAAATTTAAATAACCCAAGGGTTATAAGAGTAACTAAATATCACAAAACATAAAATAAAAAAATATATAAAATAAGATCTGTCCCCCATCTGCACCAACGACTCGCCAACCCCTTCCAAATCACCACAACTCCCTCGTCCCTCCAAATTGCTAAGTCCTCTATTGTCACGACACCCACCACAATGCCCACCCAATAACCTACAAACCCTTTCACCTAACACCACCACGATAACTCCTTCACCCACCAGCCAGCCACAACCACCACCTTTATGCCCATCGAACACCATTTGTTGGGGAATAAATACAACAAATAGATTTGATTTTGCCTAATAGGTTTGATTTCGCCAACAAACAATATTTCTATTTCTATTTTGAATTTGAATTTTTCATTTAAGATAAGAAAAATGAAAAAATGGGTTGATCGGTGGTTGGAAACGATGATTCAATTGGTGGTTGATACACAAGAGATACCATGTACACCTCTCACAAGCATTCACTGCAATACAACCTCTCCTATTTTCCTCTTTCAGTGACTAACATCAAAGAAAATACACCAGAAACACCTACGTTTTCTAACAAGTATTTTACTCTACCTTCTTATCAGTTCCATACTGATTACTACAAAAACATCACGTGTAATAATTTTAAATTGTCATTTATGATTGGAATACTTTAAAACTCATACTTCAGGAATGATAATTGTATTTTCCCCTAAAATGCTATTATACCCTAAAGTCATGTAATATATTCTTCCAACCTAGTGTAACTTGGTAGATGTATTAGTTTATTGTAAGGAAACTTGATTTCCAAACCTTTAAAGAGCTGGCCATGTTCTTGTTTAGGAAAAAGATCTTCGGCCAAACCCAAACTCTTGAGAGTCCTGCCACATAAAACGCACAACGCAGCTAAGAAAAAATTAAAGGCAATACATCAGCATAATTGGAGTTTCGGTTAGGTAGGTTTACATAGATGATGAGCCTTTAGCTAATCTGAACAATACGACTGCATAATAAGCCGAGTTTAAATAAGCAGGTACGACTCATTCATTTACAGAGAAGCTTCAACAACTCCCAACCCCTCTGCATCTATAGGAAACCCGACATCCGTCATTCGGCAAATAATGCATGGACGTTATAGAGTAAGATGCATCAAGATGGCTCCCTAAGTCTTCATGAACGGTGCAAAGATTCCTTCTGTGCAATTGACTTGACCTCTTTTATCCTTTCATCAACTAGTTGACGCACTTGCTCCTCTTGATTAGTTTGATTATCTTCCATTTCAATGGTATTAGGCTCACCATTCTGTGACTTGAACATGACAAAAGACATTTCCTGATCGTATTCAGTTGGAACATCAATCACCCGCTTCCGTGCAACTTCAGAATCTTTCCCTATGACATCAGCTTTTATACGATCAGAGATGATAGTCCTGTAAGTCTCCATGTAGTTCTCAATGGGATCAAGGCCAATGTAGAGGAGAACCTCCCAACACTGTAGAAACTGTCTTTTGTTAATTTTCAGACTTTGCCTGACATCTTCAACAGCAGTCAATGGTGGGCCAAATTGACACGTGTGGCTTTTCTTTGATAGATTTTCTTGCTTTAGACGCAGGACAACTGACTGAAGTGCATCCTGGATTGGTTCAAAAGCAAGCAGGCGCTGTGCGTCAACACAGGTTCGCACATGTTGAAGGGAGTCCACTGGCTCTTCAACTGTCAGGTCAAAAACATTTTCAGATATTGCAACATTGTTGAGCACCTCTAGAAGGAAACGGCCATGACCCTTGCGTTGGTAAGGAGGTAATACCAGTATCTGCCACAAATGCACATCTCATCACATGCTAGAAAGAGCCAAAAACATACATTTGCATACACAATCAACTATAGTAAAGAATGCATCTAAATGACACTAAAACACATCATCTTGATGTGGGCGTAGCCAGTAACGTATGTGAAGAAAAGCAAACCTGACCAAGCCTCAGTCGCATACTGTCAGGGTATCGCTGAAAACGATAAACAGCTGCAAAACCAAGCAATCTAAGTGCGCTGTCCTCCGGCTGATTACTTTCCTTGTGCACTAATAGGTAAATTTCCCATCTTGAATCGGTGATGTCAATAGGATTGCTCCCTGATTTAGAAAAAGTGCTGATTAAAAACTCTTAGCAACATTTTTGGAATGTCACAAAGTAATTCAAGATACCATGATTCTGTGAGCTGAACTAGGCGAAAATTACCATCTACAAGAAGCAGCACAAAAGGTACCAATCGACAGTAGAGGTGCCCAACAGGTTCACCCACAATCCGAAAAACCTGGGACAGTAGAAGCTAAGCATGTCAACCATGGAATACAGTTCAGATCCATACTCTTACAACACCCATACATAGGAAGAATAAGGAAAAGGTAAAGGAACTAAGGAATGTTCCTTTTTTTTTGTTTTGTTGGGGGGGAGGGTTCCAGTTGAGAGGTATCATGGCTTCTTAGAGCCAACTAATCCTCCTGGGCACACGTAGTTGGCCAATCCCCACCCAAAAACAAAGAAGAGAAATTCCATTGGTTTGCCATCTGTTTGCAGGAAATGGTGGCAAAACCTAGTTGCACAGTTCATAAATTTTATGTGACATGCCAAAAATTATGGCAGTGAAGCCGTTCCGCTTCATAGTGTCTAGTTCAACTCTTCATGATTGACAAAACACACTATGTAGACAAATCTATAGAATTCAAGGCAGGCAACCAGCATGATCTATCTTATTCAAGAACAAATGTGTATAACAGCACCTCCATATCAGAAGACTCGGATCTAATGTGACAATTAGAAGCACCACTGCATCCCTTGGAGGCTTTTTGCTGCAGTAACTCCCCATTCGAAACAATAGATCTGTCCGAGACAAATGGAAACCAATAACAATGACTTGAGAAAGGAAAATGATTAAGGGCATACATCTCCATAAGCTTGATGTTAAGATACACCAAATGGTAAGTAACTCATGGGACATACTTAATATAGTGACAATCAGTTGAAAAAGTTTGAAGGAAGTCATCTTTTTTCTCAACAAGATTCTCACCGAAAATATTCTGCATAAAATGAACTAATGATCAGATTCGACAAACATATGGACATTGAAGATCAATCAGATAGTTAAACGTGGGGATAAATAATCACCTGAAGAGCAGATTTCAAATCTGTAATCCCCTTGCCTCCCTTTTGTATCAGTTAAATGAAAATAATTATTAAAATTCCATTATTCTTATTAAAAAATTATTTAAAAGCCATCAGAAGACACAATTACAAATACATTAAACAAAGTTTTAAAGTTAACAAGAAAAAAGGAAATACCCCCTAGCCTTTTAATACACTAAAGATAAAATGCAAATACTTACATCAGAAGTGCTCTCAAAAGTGATATCAGCATATGCATGGAAAGATATGCTACTGACCCAAACAGTGATCTGCATAATATGTGAAAAAGCTAGATTAGATGCACTGAAAGACCAGCTTGTGAGATTAAATGATTAAATACATAAAATTCAAGAAGTGGCAAGAACCATGTAATTAATTATTTGATCTGTCCAAACATCAATAATCCCCTATTTAGCCAGCAACACAAAAGAACTATGTAATTTTCACCCCGCTAGATAATATTCATGATCAATAAGAGCATCTCCAACCATGACTCAAATTTAAATTAACATTTTAGTAAAAAGCTTGATTTGATACAAATAGCTTCAATGGATAAACTCAAATTTAAAAAAAGAGAAACCCAAATTTAAATGTGGACAAACTCAAATTTAAAAGAGAATAAAGATGATTATTAGATCTTTAAAATAGAGTGAAATATTACTATTAAAGATTTGAGTCTCTCTTGAGTTGAGTAAAAAAAAAAAAATCTTCCTTAATTTGGTATAAGTTTTAGTCAAAGGTTAGAGCAAGTTTTTTGAGTTTTTTTACTCAAATTTAAATTGAGGCTAAATTTAGGCAAGGGTTGGAGATGCTCTAAAAAAGCACAATCATGCATATTCCATATGTAGTCGTTTCAAGTAGGGGAGAACAGGCATGCAATTAACTGTGAATCAGTGTGCATATCCAGAATTTAGATAACGTTTATCCCACAGTATGTCCAGCGGATGCTATTGGTGGTAATAATGTTTAGCTAATGTCAGCAAACAAAGGATGAGACAATGTTAAAAGAAGGTAACCATAAGGGTAGTCTTTAGGCGCTAAATGCTGCATATATAAGAATGCATGTGTTCTGATCTCTCCCAGAGTATACGACAGAGTGAAAAGAAGAAAATAGACTTACCCTTCTCATTTAGCTTTTTTTTTTTGTTTTTTGTTTTTTTTTTTTGGAGGGGGGAGACGAGAATGAACAGTAATATCTGGACCACTATTGCACTAGTTGCTACTGATTTCTAGGTATAAAATTCCAATCAGGGGAGGAAAACCAAAAAGAGAAGAAGAAAGAAAAGCTAACCACCACAACTGTGAGACACTGAGACCTAACACAGTATGTACAGAAGCAAGGAATTAACAGTCAAGATTCAGAAAACAAGTGATCTCGACAGGATATGAACGAGTTTCACCTTCAATCCTTGGTAACCATAAATTTTTCCATCTTCTTCAAAAAAGTGAGTCAAGTCAACTGGCTCTATGCAGAAGCTGTCTGGAGAATCCACTTCTTCTTTGCTAGAAACTAAATGTTGGAAACCAGAAAAAAAGGCAAGCTAAGGCTCATCAGATTACCAATGACATAACAATTTAAACATAAAAACACAACCAAAATCAAATACAATCGCAAAAAATTGTCCTGCCCATCTATTAAGCAACCCATCTCTCAAATTTGCTTCACTGAAAACCAAGCACAAATGAGGCCAGCGTGGCCAGGCTCAAGGTGGTACACAGATTGTAAAAGATTATCACATAGCAAGGACACTGAGCCTATTAATATAAATTTAACTTTAATATACAAGAAAATATGACATATGAATAAGCTTGAATCACATAATAACTCACAAGCCATAACTAAGGGCTCCAACATATTGCCAATTTTGAAATTTCTGCAAGTACAGTCAACAAGAGCTTTCTCTTATAATAATCTGCAAACAAAAATCCCAGCCTACAGACGAGATCTTAAGTTCCAAATTCAATGAAATTCAACCCATATTAACACATTACAGCAGGTTGACCTCCCCCCCCCCCCAAAAAAAAAAAAAAACCTCATTACAACAGTGTCTCTATTAAGTCATTACAAATTTTTGCGGTATCATTTTGACATTAAATATAACATACATCGCACATGAAGTGATTGGCGTTTCAGCTTTAAAAGTTAAATTAGGAGGATAATACTACAAATTTGGAACTGGTCATCCCCAAGTTCCAATACCAAGATTTCAATTCCATACTTATCTGACACGACAATAAGTGACTGTATATGACACACACACACACACACAAAGACAGGAATCTAACAAGTCCACGGGTTCTTTAAAATAAGTGTGATATAAGCTAAAAATCATGAATCAACTACAACACAAACACAACAAATTAGTCTCACAATATATGGAAAAACCAAGAAATTATACCCAGAAAAATTTTGATGCACTCGTTAGATTCAACTCCAGCATCTACACCGAAACAATTAGAGAAAAAGAAGTGAATAAGGGAAGAGAAAGCAAGTAAAATGTGCGAAAAAAGAATACTCCGAAGCCAGAGAAAAAACAGAGGACGAAGTGAATCGGAGGCGACCTCACCTATTTTGGCAAAACCGACACGCCTTTTCTTCTTGGGGTCGGTGATTGGGTCGGAGGACTGGTGCTTAGTACCCATTTTTCGCGGTTAGGGTTTCGTCGGAGCGGGAAATGTGAGAGGCGGGAAAATATAGGAGCGATATGAACTGCAATTGTGTACATCTATATGTAGACACGCTCGCCCAAAAATAGCATTGCTTAATCCCAAATCCCAATTCCCAATTCCCAACTCCACACTCACTCTTTAGTCCACACGAGCGTGCTTTGCACGTGACATTGGGCTTAACTACTCTCTCTCTCTCTCTACAATAATTTAACTTGGGCAGTGTTGGGTAACCTTTTGTTTTTGTTTTTATTTTATGGCAAAATAAAAAATAAAAATATGTTTGGTGAGTATTTTTATTTTTTTTAAATTGCTCTATTTTGAAAACAATGCTAAAATATAAAAACATCCAAAATGATATTTTTGAAAAGGGATTGTGGGGGTGGTGTTGGGTGGTAAATTTTTGGAATAATACCAAACATATATTTTTATTTTTATTTTTATAATTTTTTAAATATAAATGACTACCAAATATATTTTATATTTTTATTTTTTATCACAAAAAAACAAAAAAATTATTTTTTTATAAAAAAAATATAAAAATAAAAACTTTACCAAACACATCCTTAATTAACACTTAAGGTGGTTCAGTGGTTGAGTTTTACATTTAATAATATACAGGTTTTTTTTTCATCTTCCTTAAAGGTTAGTCACTCTTGTGACATATTTTAACCGAATTCAAGTTACGGTGACTAATTACTGAACTCAAAAGAATGTTTGACACAAAACTTGAATATCACGTAACAAAAACTAATAATTTAACGTGATTGATTAGGTAATTATAGTTTTTGAGAGGAATGATTTGAGTAACTTTCTCTTCCAATTACCAAATTCCCATAGTATTGATCCAACTAATAATAAATAAATAAAACAATGTTTTATCCAATCTATTCACAACACTCAGGCTTGACAACTAATAATGGATTCTTGTTACTCCACTCTCTCATGCTCGTAGCCAATAACTCACAAATAATTTATAATATATTCTCTTAATATATATGAGATTTTATGTTTGATAAAAATCTCGTATAACATAGGAGTGTAGTTGATAAAATAATTTTGATATCGTTTCTTAGTTTTCAGTAACATCATGTCATACTAGAAATTGAATTAGAGTGATGATAAGTGTGTATTTGTCAATTCGATCATGTCGGGACTACTCTTTCTAAATTCAGCATAAAAATGCCATCACTTAACTATTTACGGTAATAATACTTTATACGGAAAACAGGCGAATTAGGAAAATGGAAGGTGAGAGGCATAGCAGTAGGTACCGTTTTCAATATGACCGTTAGAGTTTTATGCAGACAAGGGCGTTTGGTCTAGTGGTATGATTCTTGCTTTGGGTGCAAGAGGTCCCGAGTTCGATTCTCGGAACGCCCCATCTAATAATCCATGTTTTTCAACCTTTTTTGTGGCTTACAGTCTCTAAAATGTTATGCTGAGCATTTGCCTCTTTATAAAATTGCAGTTTACCTTTTCCTTTTACCATGTTCAAGTTTTACTCAATAAACCCTTGCTTTTTCTAAATCTTGGGGACAATAATTGACAAAATTATTTGTTGGTAATTACAGCGTTTTGTTGTTTATCGACGCTTCTTTTCACTTCCCCATCCGTTTCAGTAAGTTTTTTAGGAGGGAAGGAGGATAAGACTTGAGAGGAAATAACTAATAGCAAAAAGCTTCCATCAGGCTTGTTCTCTTCAAAACTCCCAAAAAGTACTCCATCATAAAGACGCCCACCGTATAATTTACTAGTGTCAACATCAAGAAAAAGCCAGACTGTAACACCCAGACAGAAAGAGAGAAGCAAGACCAGAATGGAGGGAGAACCATCTCAACACACGATGCATACCAGACGGAGGTAAACAACCACACAACCTTTTTGTTTCTTCGTTCTTCATTCCTCACTTTGAACAATTATTCAACTGGATCATACACTGGAACAGATTCACATGCGGGTACATTTACGGAAAAGCTGGCACAACACCATGGGTTTGGAGTTGAACAACTGGTTGGTTGAAACCTAACGTCTCGACATGATCATGGAAATTTCAGGTAAAGGGTAAATATTGAAGCTAATGAACAACCGTATAAGACTATAAAACCTACTAGACATCCAACGTCAACAACAAATGGTAATGAAAAATTTGTCACAACAGATCCACTGGATCCAAATGCTAACAAACTCCAATGATCGGCAATTCGGACAGCCAGATTAGATGCCATCAGAAATCCAAGCATCTCGAGTTCCTTCTTTCCATGTTCCCCATCTCCACCTCACTCTTGAACAATGAGCCATACAACTTGACCAAAGGCTGATAGCATCATTAGAATCAACATTACGGTGGATGAGCAATGCCATATCTGACAAGTCAACGTACTTCTCCAAGACAAACAAAATTAAATGCAGCGTAAACTCAACATCATACAACACTAAATATGCGGTAATATCTTTCAATCCCTTTGACTGACCTGTAATCTTTAAACTTTGTCGCCAAAAAACCATCTCCAGCTGTGACCAAGCCTCAGGGCCAAATGTAAGAGAAGTCAAATCAGGAAATTTACGGAACAATACCTCAAGGGTTTCCATTTCAATAGAATCTACCCTTTTAAGTGACTCTACTGCTAGATTTTTGATTGTTCTACCAAATGGAAGTGTGCTAAGAAGGTTGTGGAGATCAGTAGATTCAAGCTGAAGATTTTTCAGATTACAAAACTCCTGTACTCTAAAGTCACTTGCCTTCTCGAGTGAAATGTGGAGATCAGACAGCAATGGAGCTTCAATGATGAGTGCTCTTGGCTTCACACATTGGAGTTTGAGTTTGACAAGGTTGGGGGCTATTATAGTCACCAACCTGGGAGCATTAGACATTGTCCATTGACATCTTTTAAGGTGCAACAGATGAATTTTGGGTTCTTTAAGTCCTCCGACCCCTATCAAGTTAAGAACTTGTAATGATGGGAAGCAATCGTTCACCTTGTTTAGGTTCTCATCATCTAGTCTTATAAATTCAAGCGTCAAACAAGTAAGCGTAGGCATTGTACTCAAACATCCACTGACAACCAAGCACTTTTAACTGCTAGCTCAGTAAGACTGTGACCTGCACTCACAGAAACAAGGCTCAAGCTCAATTGCAAACAATGATATACTAGTAAAGAGTGTTTTGACAATGATCACAATCAAAATAGTGATAAGATTGAGATAAAACACAACAATGAGGAAACTTCAAATAGGCAAGGGTCAAGAGCTGATCAGTGTCAAATATACTAAATTATCTGTCAAATTTCAAATAAATGGAATTGACACCCTAGACCCATTTCAAAAAATCACCAAATGTGACGATAGGTTCACAATGAATGTTGGTCATGAATTCCAAAGGGGATGAAACTCAATAAAGTGGAGCATAAAATTTCTTCTTCTGAATTTTCTAAACACTAAGATAACCTAAACTTGAAATTCTATTTTTGATTATAGCAATCCAATCCAAGAATTCATAATTTCCAATGCATTTTTTTAAAAAACAAGTGCAAAATTATGCAAAGGTTTAACAAGAAGATCTCTACACAATTTTATTGTGCCCAAATCCAAATACTTCCAATAAAACTAATAATTTCCTATCCACTCCTTAATTTTCCGACAGAGGTTAAGGTAAATAGTCAATAAACCCACCGAACGCCTAAAATTTGAAATTGTTATGTACCCAAGTTTAATGACCCATTTTTGAAATCTTTGCTATATTTTTTGGTTATTAAGCCAATTTTTATTCCCCCAGTGATCAGCACTTGAACCTGCTTGGATAACATCTATACAAATCGAAGCATATCGATGAGCAGGTCGAACAGTGACACGAAGTCGTGGTGGAAATCAAAACTTTTTAAGGAAATAACTACATTTCGCGACAGCCGGAGAGCTTGTGTGTGCGTAAGAACTCACAGACGATGAATCATCGGATCATCTCCAACAACACTGTTGAGTCCACTGAAATTCTTAGGCAAATTTAATCGCTAATTAATCCAATTGTTATCTCCCCTAATGATCAAAAGAACAAGAAATCAAGTACTTTGCTAAAGAAAAACATATATAAAACCGAAAGAGACAGAGACAGAGACAAAGAGAGTCTGAGAGCGTGTGTGGAGCGTAAGAACTCACAGTATGATGAAAGCAAACCCAAAACGTGGGTCCGTCTCCAACAGGACTGAATCCAAAAATCAGAGATCAAAATCGACCGCAAATTTCCACAAACCCTCGGCAACCACTCCATCACAAAATTCATATCCGTCATATGCAAATCATCGTCCTCGTCCTCCACGTCATCGTACGACACCGATCGAAGCGTCGTGTCGACCCCGAACGAGACAGAAACAACGTTTCTTGAATTGAGTAGGAGGTTCTTGAAGATGGTCTTGAAGGGTGTTATAGAAGATCGCGTTTGGGGATCGCGAGACTTGGTGTATCGGCCGAAGGAGCAATGGAGGTTGATGGATTGGACTTGTTCAGAGAGAGTGTTTATTGTCTTGGAAACGAGTTTGCAGCGAGCAAGGTCGGTCGAATCGTTAAGTCGTGTTAGGATTTCTACTACAATAGGAGAAGGGAGGTCGTCCATGGAAGAAAATGGATAACGAGAGAGAGAGAGGGGCTTGTGTTAAATTAGATTCCTGGAGTAGAATCTTGAAAACCGGAGGGTTTGTCATGGCGCGTGAAACCACTTGCCTAAACATAGGAGCTTCTCAAAAGTGATGCTAAAGCTTTTATATCTATATAATAATATGGAATGGAAGTTGAATTTTAAAAATAAAGAGGGTTGAAATCGTTTTAAGATAAAATATAAATAAATTTAACGAATAAAATAATTTTAATATAAAAAACGATTCAAATTTCTTAAAATCTTAAAACATTTAACGAATAAAATAATTTTAACATAAAAAATGATTCAAATTTTCTTAAAAATTTTGATCTAATAAAGTACAATAATTACCAAATTTTATTTTCCCGCGCCACCTATCTCTCACATTTCTTTTTTTACCACTCCTATCTTTTATTTAACTCTATTACTCTGTCTCATACTAACTAATATAAAGAGTTCTATCTCACATCTAATTTTATCTCGCTACCTCCCAGTAACTCAAATTCCTTCCCCTATCTCTTGCTGCCTCACCCGGCACCTCCCTCTCGCTCTCTCTTCCTTATCTCTGATCTAACTACCCAAGAGTCCTCTCTCCTCTAACTCTCTCATTTTTAAAAACATTCACTCGACACTTTTCTCTCTCTTTCCCAATCACGCCCCAATTCAGTGATATCTCTCTCCCAAATTCACGCAGCGATCTCTTCTTTTCTTAGCAGAATGTGATCTCTGTGATTTCCTTTCATACCCAAAAGAAATCTCATGCCTCTCCTAGTCTCTCCCCACAAATCTCAACATTTACACACACGCACTCTCTCTCTACCAGTTTTTCCAAATTCAAATTCGCCAGTTGCCGCTGCCCATCCACAGTCATTGCCAGTTACAGCTGCCAAGTAAATTCAGACCTTCACTTAATTTTGCCTCTCTCTCTGTGCTTCTTTTTTCTTCACTGTTCATTGTACACACACAACATACATATTGCACAATGCCTATAAAATGTTCGATCAAATGCCACAGAGGTGATGACCAACTCTCTGTGCACACTCAACGCACACACACAACACGCGCACACACACACACACGCACGTGCCACACAGCCCATACACACACACACCACACGCACACACTTAGTGCACACCTACAACATGCTCATTCTTTTGGTTTCTTTATTAATGGTTTAAACATTTCTTTTGAAAACTAACATTACATTGTGTTATTGGTTGTTTTTTAATAGTTTATAACTAGGCCAAAGCTCGAGATTAAGATCCGAATCACCTCACTGGGCTTGGTTAGGAACTACATCGCTGAGTTTGTGTTGGGTTTGAGGGCGGAGACGCAGTGACGAGAAAGGAGAGCGCAGAGAGGGAGATATGTTGGGTTTACGGTAGAAACACAGTAACAAGAGACGAAAGATGAGAGAAGGAGATGTGTTGGGTTTGGGGTATAGACCCAACAACGAAAGAGGAGAGAGTAGAGAGGGAGATGCGTTGGTTTGGTGGTGGAGACGCAATAACGAGAGACGAGAGAAAGGGATGTGTTGGGTTTTAGAGGGTGGAGACGCAATAAAGAGAGAGATGTTTGTGTACGAGGAAGACATAACTCAGAAGGATTTATGCACGTGTGAGGAGAGAGAAGAGTAAGAAAGAAGAAGGTGGGTCTTTGGGTCTACGGATAATTGTGTTATAATTGTGTTTGGATAATTGTGTTATAATTGTATTTGGACGTATAAATAATTGTAAAATATTAAAAATGTTCCATAATATCCTTACTTGCCTAGCATATAACGTTTTTCATCTATTATTTGAACAACAGTTAGAGGTAAGGATCATTGGATCAAAGTGAGTTAATGCGTTAACATGAATAATGAAATTGACGAATTAGAATTTTATGGATGAAAGTATAATAAGTGGTAAACCTTATGGACTATTAGTACAATTTATCCTATTTAGAATAATAAAAGTAAATAAAATTAAAAATAAATAAATTTTACTATCGTAAAATCATTTTTTTCACACAATAATTCACCACCACCACTGTTCTTATTCGTTTTTTTGATGTTTTTTAACGAAGCCTTGCCCACAAGACCTTGTTTTTCCCACGGTCAAGGAAAGGCAACATTGTTATACCACCATCGTTATCGTCGTCCACCCCTTTTCCCACCTTCATCGTCGCCCTTGATGATGCACAAAAATAGTTTTGCACACCACCTACAGATAGGGAAGACCATAGATGTCTATGTGGAAATATGTTGGTAAAACATTTGGTCATTGAGAACTATGTAGCACACTTACAAGAGACCTTTGACGTCCTAAGAGCTTACCAAATAAAAACTAAATTCTTAAAAGTGCGCCTTCGGCGTAAGCTTAGGTAATTCCTTGGCTTCATGGTCAATAAGAGGGGCATCGAGGCTAATCCATACAATATTAAAGCTATCTTAGACATGAAGTCTCTAGCCTCTGTGAAGGAGTCTGGCGTCTTAATTGAAGGATAACAGCCCTCAGCAAGTTCGTTTCAAAGTCAGCAGATAAGTGTTTACCCCTTCTTAAAATTCTTCAAAAATCTTTTCAATGGGGACCAAATGCAAAAAGAAGCCTTTCAAAGTTAAAGGCCTATCTTTTGTGCACCCCCATTGTTTTCCAATGTCGTACCTGGAGAGACCTTATACCTTTACCTATCCGCCTGACCTCCAGTATGAGTTTCCATCCTTGTTAAGGAGGAAAGAGGAGTTCAAAGGCTCGTTTTTATTTGAGTAGGCCTTACTGAGGAGCATAGGTAAGGTTCTCTGAGTGGGAGAAGTTAGCCCTCACGCTAGTCATTGCAACCAGGCACCTACAACACTATTTTTAGAGCCACACCATGTGGTTCTCATATATCAACCACTCAGAGGAATCCTTGGAAAGTTAGATGTGTCTAGAAGGCTCCTCAAATAGGCCATCGAATTGAGCGAGGTCACGTGCAGTATCAACTGAGGGTGGTCATAAAGGCACAAGCATATGCGGATTTTGTGGCCGAATTTTACACCAATAGAGGAAAGAGGCTCCCAAAAAGAAGTGCCCATCGCCCCTATGATCACCTACTCTATGAACAGCGCCTAGACTCCCGTACATCAAGGCTAGGCGTCACCCTTGAGGTGCGTGTCACCCTCGAACCAGTCCCCAGGTCCTTGGTGCCTAGGCTCCCTGGCCCGAGGCACCCAAATCCCTGGTGCCTAGTACTCCAGTGTCATCAGAACTGGACACCCCGATGCCCTTGTTAACCACACCTTAACCTGCCACCCTCCTACTTGATTGCACTACCGCGCCTGAGTGGTGTATCCAACTATAGAAGCCTAAAATCCATCGATGTAGTAGCATGTTGGAAACTATACAAAATAGGTCTTCTACTAATGAAAGCAATGGAGTAGGGCTGGTACTTATCAGACTATGGACTCCGCTGAAATACATTGTATTTCTCCATTTTGCGGCATCCAACAATTAAGGCAGAATACGAGGCCCTCATCTCAGGCCTGAAGCTCGTAATTGAAATGGAGGCACCTCAGTTTATAGTGATTCCTAGTTTATAGTTAACCCAATTGAGGGGAGACTTCGAGTAAGGAGGAAATAATGCAAGAATATCTATCAGTGGTACAAACTTTAATGAAAAACTTCAACCACTTTCAAATTCAACACATGCCCAAAGGATATGCCATGGTAGATGCATTTTTTAATTCACATCCGCAAATATCCCAACAGGCCCTGCCCTCATGGGTCTCCAATTTGAGCCAAGAAGGCTCAAAGTAGATGAGGACAAT